GTTGCTGCAGTTGTTGCTGATGCTGCTATTGATGTTGCTGTTGCTGTTGCTGCAGTTATTGCTATTGCTGCTGCTGCTGCAGTTGTTGCTGTTGCTGCTGCTGCTGTAGTTGTTGCTGTTGCTGCTGCTGCTGCAGTTCTTGCTTTTGCTGCTGTTGTTGCTGCTGCTGCTGCTGCTGCTGCTTCTGCTGCAGTTGCTGCTGCTCCCGTTCTTGCTGCTGCTTTCCTATTAGCCGACTGTATATTTATATTTTAATAATATTTATTATTTTTATTTATTTTTATTTATTTTTATTTATTTTTATTTTTATTTATTTTTATTTATTTTTATTTTTATTTTTGTTTTTTTTTTCTGTGTGAAGAAACCCCGCCTTCTCTCGCCTCAGCCTCGAAGCCAAAATTGTTAGACCCCAAACCCTAAACCCTAAACCCTAAACCCTAAACCCTAAACCCTAATTAAACCCTAAACCCTAATTAAATTATAAATCTTTATACTAAAATATAAATGTTATATAAACCCTAAACCCTTTTTTGTTTTTATTTATTTTACTCTTTTTTTTGTGCTTTGTTTGTTTGCATTTTGTTTATACTTATATTTATTTATTCATTTATATTTATTTATTTATTTATTTATATTTATTTATTTATTTATATTTATTTATTTATTTATATTTATTTATTTATATTTATTTATTTATTTATTTATTTATTTAGGTGAGACAGCGTCTCCTATATGAACTCAAATTTTTCTTTTTCTTTCTATAAACGCACAAATAAATATATTTATTTATAAATTATTTATTTATTTATATTTATTTATTTATATTTATTTATATTTATTCATATTTATTTATATTTATTTATTTATTCATATTTATTTATTTATTTATTGTGGCGTGTGTAAGAGTATCCTGAACTGAAATGTGTTCGTTTTTCTTTCTATAAACGCACAAAAAAAATAAAAAAAAAACAAATAAATATAAATTAATTTATATTTATTTATTTATTTATTTATTTATTTATTTATTTATTTATTTATTTATTTATTTATTTAGGTTTTATTAGGAGACAGTGGGGTGGGTAAGAGCAGCCTGTCTCTGCGTTTCTGTCGTGGTCGGTTTCCACTGTACCATGAGGTGACCATTGGTGCAGCCTTCCTGCAGCAAACCGTCAGGCTTGAACAAGGTCTGCTGCTGCTGCTGCTGCTGCTGCTGCTGTTGCTGTTGCTGCTGCTGCTGCTGCTGCTGCTGCTGTTGCTGTTGCTGCTGCTGCTGTTGCTGCTGTTGTTGTTGTTGCTGCTGCTTCTGCTGCTGATGGTGCTGCTGCTGCTGTTGCTGTTGCTGTTGCTGTTTCTGTTGTTGCTGGTGGTGGTGGTGGTGCTGCTGCTGCTGCTGCTGCTGTTGCTGTTGCTGTTGCTGTTTCTGTTGTTGCTGGTGGTGGTGGTGGTGCTGCTGCTGCTGCTGCTGCTGTTGCTGTTGTTGCTGGTGGTGCTGCTGCTGTTGCTGTTGTTGCTGGTGGTGGTGGTGCTGTTGCTGCTGCTGTTGCTGCTGGTGCTGTTGCTGCTGCTGCTGCTAGTGTTGGTGGTTCTGCTGCTGCTGCTGCTGCTAGTCCTGCTGCTGGTGTTTCTGTTGCTGTTGTTTCTGCAATTGCTGCTGCTCTTTTCTTTGTCTTGCTGCTGCTTCTCCTACTGCTTATCCAGCTTCTGCTGTTGCTGCTGCTGCTGCTGCTGCTGTTGTTGCTGCTCATCCTGCTTCTGCTCTTGCTGCTGCTGCTGCTCTTGCTGTTGCTGCTTCTTCTCTTGCTGCTGCTGCTTCTCCTCTTGCTGCCGCTCTTGCTGCTCCTGCTGCTGCTTCTGCTGCTGCTGCTGCTGCTGCTGCTGCTGCTGCTGCTGCTGCTGCAGGCAACCAGGTGAAGCTGCACATTTGGGACACAGGGGGCCAGGAGCGGTTCAGGGCGATGGCCCCCCTCTATTACAGAGATGCTGCTGGCGCTGTCGTTGTCTATGATATCACGTAATACTCCTGCTGCTGCTGCTGCTGCTGCTGCTGCTGCTGCTGCTGCTGCTGCTGCTG